CACCATTTTTCTGTCCAGTTGAAAAGGCCTTGGCTAGAAGATCAGGATTAACGGATGGGTCTGATCCAAACGCTGCATTTGCTATTGTAATGACACCGGGGTTCTGGCTGCTTAAAGCAGCAAGAGCAACAACCAGAAATTCGAGGTCAATGACTGTTGGTGAAAGGACATAATTTACTAGAGAACTTCCTGTTACTACCTGATAGTCCTACTAAGACAAAATAGTGTAACTTACGACTCCTACATTGAATTGGAGGCCATTTAAGCTGTTGTAAAAGTGAGATTGAAAAATACTACTAAGAAGCTATGTATAGAACTGAAATATAATGTATGTACAAGGAATAGGCAACCAGATTCATTTAACTTTGCGAACTGATAAACATTATTTTTCCTACAAATTTGCGATCAGAACAGTGAACATAAGAAGATGAACAGAATAGCAGAACTGTAAAAAACAGTAAAAACATTGTAATAATTTAACATCAAAGCTTATAAACCAGTAGAATTACTCTACAAGGTTGAAGTAGTTGCACTCTCAAACACAAGAGAAGGTCTCAAAGTATTCACAGCACCGAAACCTTGCACGATCGAACAGATAATTGTATGCCTTAGGACCATCTGTCCGTACTTCCATCAGCTCAATTCCCTCATCCCTCATATTGTAATATAGGGTCATTCCACTTTCAAGTACTGCAACCACTGAATCTCCTTTATCCTGATCACATAGCACAGTCAGACAAAAAAGATTATAATTTCTGTAAGGAGGTATAAGGTTGAAACTTCGCATTTCAGCTTCAAAATCAACACGGTACATGATAAACCAACCCGAGTAATTCTCTATCAATTCATAAACTCGAAATATTAAACGCCAAGCAGGCTTTCGTCCAACGGCGAGATGCAAATAGCCTCCGGACTGCCCAAAATATCGAGGACCGCTATACCGCCTACTTAGCTTTGGCATTGGCATCGGCATCAAGCATTCGGTCCCCACATCAAAGTATAGTGACTCTTTAGCAGTACTATCCCAATGGATAGCACCGTTAAGGAAAACAGCCTGGTCGAACTGTGTATCGACCTCTGAAGTGAATTTGATTTTCGATACACTCCAACAATCTGTCTCTGATGAGTATATGTCCATAGAAAAATTAGAAGTCATATGACGCAAGCAATTGTTTTCCTCGTCTTTCTCGAGGAAAACTTCTCGCCAAATAGAAATAATTTTATAATAAGGTGATTTGCTAGGGTCAAAAGCAAGATTAACACCAACAAGCTGATATTCCAGCATTGGAGGCCTTGGAAGAGAGATCGTCTTGAATTTCTTGATAACAGGGTTACAGATAAAATAACTCTGATTACCATAATCACAAGTGCAAAGAAGCAAACCAGCGCAAGATTGCATTATTTTGATGTCAGGGGCATTCATGAAATCCAAGGGCGGGAGTTGTTTGGTGTCGCGGTTCAAAGGAAGGAATACGAACTTCGTAGGTGGTTGTCTGTAGATGACATCGAGAAAAAGTGCCGAAGGTTTGAGAAGGCCTTCATTGAGGAGGAAGCGAGTGTGGGAAATGCTGAACTCAGAGCTGGATATAAGCCACAGCCATTGTTTTGAAACGAGTTTGAACTGTAACAAAGTCTTCGTAGGTAATCGTCGCAGGATTTCTATTAAGAGATCGTTTATGTGGGCAACCTCCTCTGCTGGCGTCTTCATCCTTCTTTGACTAGACGCTCTATAGCTTACCATGGCCATAACAATGGCTTAGTTTTTTCTGATCATTTGGTTACCCTGTAATTCTTTGACAGTGTTTTCCTTTTTATACTTCCTAAATTCTATATATATGGAAACTTAAGAATCTTACCATATAATTTAATCTAACCTGATCATTGAAAACTAAAATTTATAAGAAAAATAGTTTAGATATACCGACTTTTAACGGAAAACGAATTTGATGCAAAAAAGTTATTTTGTTCACACATTAATAAGTTAAATTGAGTTCACGTGCTAATTAATTATTGTAAAAGTTAAAATTTTATATTGAATGATCAAATTAACCTTTAACGGAAAACGAATTTGACCGGGAAAATATATTTTGTTCACATGTTAATAATCAAGTTGAGTTCATGCGTCAATTAATTATAAGAAAAAAGATATAAATATAAATTTTGTGTTGAATGATAAAATAAACCTTGTTCTACAATTGGAATACACATTTAATGTATTTTTTGGCAAACAAGGAAGGGAATCTGTTTTTTGGATTTATATGAAAACTAAGGAGGGAAAAAAGGAAAGAAATTCAAATTTGCCAAGGTAACGTATCCTTTTGGATTTGTCCTTGGACATAATCACTAATTCATTCTGTTTTCTTTGCCAAGCCACCTCATTATCTTCATTTTCCAACTAAGCTTCTAACCTGGGCTAAAACTTTCCTACTATATTTCCATTCTTGTCATATGCCTTGCTCTAAATTCAATCACTTTCCCTTTTAATGAAATCCATTACAGTAGGATGCATTTTGGCTCTACATTTAATGTAATGAACATTCAACAATTGACTAGCAAAATTTTCTTACCCAATAGTGGTAGCCACTCCAAAGTCTTTTCATTCTGTTTTTCAATGCAAATTTCTCATTATGATTACTATGAGTCACTTGGTACAATAATTGAGTCAACATAGTCAAAGTGGTTGTCTCAGATGATTTTTTGTTAAACATTTTCTCATGATAGTATAATAATCGAGCACTTGATAGAGATAGATTGTATAAAATAGATACTCCATGTTAATTTGTATCTCATTCCAACCATTTAAAGTCATGTCATCAACTGAAGATGTAATATGTTTTGCTCCAAGACACCTCCTCGAAATGAAATACCTTATATCTGTGCATATGAGTACCAACAAGAGTGATCTACTTCTAATGTCTTTGTTTAGAATTTGATGTTTGTATCCCATTCCAAGAGCTTGTTCTCATTGGTCCTTGAAGCATCGTCTCTATACTGGCTATTTATCAACATTGACTCCCTTCAACATCTGCCTTGCTCACTTTTTCAAGCCAAATTAAAGCAATGGTCGATGATACTTGAAGGTACTAGGTGAATGCATTTTGACCACTGCTAGACAATCTCCAAGTTCTCAAGCATTTCTCTTTTCCAATGGATTCCTTTAAACGATTTTACTAAATTTCCCTCAACTTTAAGGGAAATGAAATTAAAAATTGCTACTAAAAAGCTATGTATAGAACTGAAAAATTATTAATTTAAAGACCTTTACTATGTACAAGGAAAAGGCAACCAGATTCATTTAAACATTATTTTTGCTACAAGTTTGCAATGGGAACAGATAACACAAGAAGATGAACAGAATAGCATAACTGTAAAAAAAACAGGACTAAAACATTGTAATAATCTAACATTAAAGCTTATAAACCAGTAGAATTATTCAACAAGGTTGAAGTAGTTGCAATCTCAAACACAAGAGAGGGTCTCAAAGTATTCACAGCCCCGAAACCTTGCAATATCGTATCGATATCCGTTTGCCTTAGGGCCATCTGTCCGTACTTCCATTTCGTTATCCCTGAAATTGTAATATAGGGCTGTTCCACATTGAATTACTGCAACCATTGAATCTCTTTTGTCCTCATCAGAGCGCACAACCAGACAGAAAATATCATAATCACAATAAGGAGGTTTAAGGTTGATACTTCGCATTTCGGCTTCAAGATCAATACGGTACTTGATGAACCAATCTGAGTAATCCACTAGCATCTCGTAAATCCGAAATATTAAACCATAACTAGGCTTTCGTCCAACAGCAAGATGCAAATAGCCTCTGGACTGCCCAAAGTATCGAGAACTGCTATATCGCCTACTTAGCTTTGGCATCGGCATCAAGTATTCAGTCTCCACATCAAAGTATAGCGACTCTTTAGCAACACTATCCCAATGGATTGCACCGTTAAAGAAAACAGCATGGTCGAACTATGTAGCCCACTCTGAAGTGAGTTTGATTTTCGATACATTCCAAGAATCTGTCTCTGATGAGTATATGTCCATAGAAAAATTAGAAGTCATACAACATAAGCAATTGTTTTCCTCGTCTTTGTCAAGCAAAATTTCCTGCCAAATAGAAATAATCTTGTAATAAGGTGATTTGACACGGTCGAAAGCAAGATTAACACCAACAGGATGATATTCCAGCATTGGAGGCGTCGGACAAGAGATCATCTTGAATTTCTTGATAACAGGGTTACAGATAAAATAACTCTGATTATCATAATCATATGTGCAAAGAAGCAAACCATTGCAAGATTGCATTATTGTGATGTAAGGGGCATTCATGAAATCCAAGAGCGGGAGTTGTTTGGTGTCGCCGTTCAAAGGAAGGAACATGAACTTCATAGGTGGTTGTCTGTAGATGACATCGAGAAAAAGTACTGAAGGTTTGAGAGAGGCTTCTTTGAGGAGGAAGCGAGTGTGTGAAATGCTGAAATCGGAGCTGCATATAATTGACAACCATTGTTTTGAAACGAGTTTGGACTGTAAAAGAATCTTTGTAGGTAATCGTGGTAGGATTTCTATTAAGAAGTCGTCGATGTCGGCAACCTCGTTTGCTAGTGTCTTCATCCTAGCCTCCTCTGCTGGTGTCTTCATCCTTCTTCACCTTGACACTCTACAGCACACTATGGCCATATATAATTCTTTTTTATACTGTCTAAATCCTATATATAAGGAAAATTAACAAACTTACTATATAATTGAATCTAATCTAATCTAATCATTGAAAACTAAAACTTATAAAAAAAAAACAGTTTAGATATACCGACTTTTAACGGGAAACAGATTTGATGTAAGGAATTTATTTTGATTACATATTAATAACCTTAAACTAAGTTCACGAGTCAATTAATGATTATAAAAATTTAAATTTTGAACTCAATGATCATATCAACTTTTAAGGAAAAACAAATTTGACCTGGAAAAGATATTTTGTTTACATGTTAATAAACTAGGTTGAGTTCATGTGTCAATTAATTATAAAAATAAATAAATTTAAATTTTGTGTTGAATGATCAAATAAATATGTTATCATTGGAATACACATTTAAAGTATTTTTTGGTAAAAAAGGAAAGGAAAATGATTTTTGGATTTCCATAAAACAAATCCAAATTTGCTAAGCTAACATATCTTTGTGCATTTTTTTCTCTGACATAATCCCAAATTCATTTTGTACTAAAAAGAATTCAAATTCAGATAATATTGACAACTAGGATTCATCTGTCTCTACCATACCCAAAATTGCCACCTCATTATCTTTGTTTTTCTACTAAGCTTCTAACTTGGGATAACACGTTCCTATTATATTTCCATTCTTGTTGTTCAATTTAATCTCTCTACTCAAAGTAGCAACAATTTAATCTCTTGATTTTGAAAATTGCTTCAATTTAGTCCCTCTCCTAACGACATCTAATTTTACTTTTAACGAGGATGACGTCAATGCTGATATAGCAATATTTGAAGGCATGGCACAACATGATGACTTGACAATACCACATGCCACTAATATGATGATGTGGCAATGTTGACGTGACACTGACATGCTGACGTGTCAATACCACGTGGCATATCAAAAACTTTTTAAAAAAAATTTTTGTGTCGCGTCATTAGGGTTAAAATGAACAAAAATATATAATATAGAGATTAAATTGAACAAAATTAAAATATTGAGGGATGAAATTGTAAAAAAAATTAAAAAATATAAATATTTAAATAGATAATAGATATAGTTATTAATAAATTAAATATTTAAGTGTATTGCTACATCCAGCGTGAAATCCATTATAGTAGCAATCTTATCTTTTCGCTTCTGCAAGAACTCTTGTGAGAACAAATCTAATAGTTTCTACAAAATCTGCAAAAGCCATATCGATATTTGTTATATTGTAACACCGCACCCTCTTCATTCTCCCATCGTCCAAATTAAGAAAATCGCATTTTCCCCTTGGCAATACTACAAGCATTGAATCCTCTTTTTCCTCGTCACATTGAACAGTGTAAGAAGATTAAATCAATACTATAATTTGCATTTCCAAATAGTAAATGGAAGAGTTATGATAAATTTGAAGAGAAGCCTCAGAATTCCATCTTCAAGAAACAAAAAAGCTTTAATTAGAAGAAAGGCAAAAAAGTTACTAAGAGGGGCCATTTTACTGGGAGTTAAGTTTTTTTCGGTTAAGCACAAGTATGAGAGTGATTTTATGGAACATCAAGGGGATTGGGATCTTGTGTGAAAGTCAGGGCATTGAGGAGGATTATTTGGAGTACAAGAGATTGTTCCAAGATTCAAACTACACAAATATCGTGGTTGCTGTCAAAACTGCATTGGATTTATTTAATATGGGTTTTAAAATCTAACTCCCTTGTTGTGGTTTCATGGATAACAAAAGAATTGGTGAAGCCTTGGGACTACTAGAAGATTTTCTCAAAGAATGACAAGTCACAAGTCACAAATGAACATTGGGAAGGTGATTTTCTAGCATGCTCTTATGGAAGATAATTGCTTTGCAAACTATTGGGAAAGGCTAGGAGTTGTTGGTTGTGATTTATTCTATGTTTGGTGGTAGGAACTCTTTAGGTATGTAATTTCTGTTTGATTCCAGGGTTATGTCCCGAATATTGAGTTGGCTGGTGTTATGTATTTATGATGGCGTTAATATGTTCTGGGGTGTATCTTTTATTGTGTTGTCAACCCATCTCAGACAATGAGACGTGAAGATTGTAATGATCTTTCATCATTAATGAAATTAAATTTTCGATTGAGAGAAAATTTTATAGAGTCCATTGGGGACTCCACCAGTTCATCAGGTCGGGACATTCAATCACCGCAACACACCGTAGTTTCAAAGATTTAAGCAATACAATTAATTAATTAAAAAACACCACCTCTCACCACAACAAAGATTACCAGCAGAGCGTAATACAAGGAAGCACATCATCTTTCCGACTCCCATTAACCCTATGATCAACTTTCCTACTCACACATATTAAAGATGCAAAGCCATGTAAAACGAAGGCATAATAAACAAAAAAATCCTTAAACTATTTTAAAAAATTGAGTTCAATCAAGTTCTTATACTTTTATTTTGAACTAAATAAGCCCTTGTACTTTTTATTTTGAATCAAATAAGTCCTTATAACTAATGATTGATTTAATCAAAATATCATTTGTTATTTTATATCGCATGACGTTGACGTGAGATATTAAAATATCATAATTGATTATGATGTGGCATACTAGCGTAACATAATGGATGTGACAAAATTTACTAATTTGGCATAATATTATGATCATGTAGCATTTTTCACCATCCACATTAATGTTATATCAATGTCATATCAATATAAAATGACAAGTGATATTTTTAATAATGGTAATTAGTTAATCATTAGTAATAAGTACTTATTTGATCCAAAATAAAAATACAAGAGCTTAATGAAACGTAATAAAAGAATAAGGATTTATTTGAATATTCTTGAATAATTCAGAGGCTTATTTGAGCATTATACCTAAAACAAATTCAATTCCCATTAACTCTAGTGATTTGAGTTGTGGATTTTAATCGAACCAAAGCAAACTCCATGGATATGTCCTTGGAAGTCTATTAACATGTTGGTGTATTTTCAAAATGAAAAGTTATATCTCTTCATATAAAAAGTTACTAATGAAAAGTTAGTTTTTTCATATGAAAAGTTAGTTTTTTCATATGAAAAGTTGTGATCATTTAAAGTCATATCAATTGAAAGGTCATATCATATAGTGTGGTATAGTGTATCTATTAGATTGTAAGTGATTTTTCATATAAAAAGTTATGTGATAAAGTGTCATATTAGAAAAATACCTTTAAATCCAAAAACTATAAGATAATTAAAATACATCACTATTTAAAAAGTTAGATATAAAAAATTATCTTTTCATATTATAACTCAAAGGTTATATCTTATTAAATAAATAATTATCTTTTTATAAGGTAATTATTAGAACAATACCTTTATTCAAAGATTATATATTGCATTAAGCAAAAATGTCTTTAAGACGTAGAGATGCCTTGATAAAAAGGTTGTATCTTTAAAGAAAAGACACTTGTAAATTTATATAAAAAACTTATTGTCAAACATTGACATACCAAAAACAATTAAGAAGCAAAAAATTCAAAAGCAAGAGAAGTGTTATGTTCTAAATAAAATTCAGAAAATAAACATACACACTTGAGTTCTCATCATCTTCTAAAAAAGTCTAAATTTCATATAATCTACTTGTTACAAAAAGTAAACTCTAAAGCCAAACAACTTTTCAACTCTCAGGGTATATCGAGCGATCTACTCCTGTAAAGTGCGAGATGAAGTTAGATGTTGGCTTCATTGTATCTTAAAGCTATTCGTATTATTTCCTTTTACATTTTGAGTAGCGATGACGATATAAGTCTTAAAGATAATATCTATTAAAAGACACGTGTTGCAATCAATTTTGTCGATCCCTTTAAATTCCAACTAACACTATTTGCACCAACACAACACTCCATCACATTCGGTTGGTACTGGTTTCCCTTTAAAAGATTTGTCAACATTGAATTAAAACTCACGAAGCAGAATCCACGAGGTTCCCTTCTGTGCTACTTGAAGAGTATAGCTAGCTTTTACTTGCCATGGTTTGAGCCACCAAACAGCTACCTCCTTTATTCGCCTCTTGTCTTTCACTAACTCTAATTCAAAACATGGACATCATTTTAACGAGAAACAGCATTTCTTTTCCATTAAAGATCGATTATTTCTGATCAACTATAGTGACCAAAGGGTAGCATCGCATACCACTCAAACATAAGGAGTCAAACCATGACTTAATAAAAGATTCAATAGAATGAGGAATAATCCAAGAAATTCCCCACCATTGTAATACAAAACACCAAACAAACCAGCCAAAGTGACATGTAATAAGAATGTGTTCACATATTTCCTCAACAATACCACTTGGACAACAAAGATCATTACTAGCACCCACTTAATGAAACACCTTATTGGTTAAGCACAATATATATATATATATATATTCCAAAAAATTAATAATTGATGTGCTACTTTACCAAACAAAAAAAAAAACTCAAATTAATAAACAAAGAACAACTGGGGATCAGTGTTTTACGTTACTTGAGAATTATTCAAGATAAAGTGCAAAAAGAAAACATTGGAAGGAGATTCATTGCATTGTAGAAAATCATAAAGCACATACAAATCATTATCGACACTCAAGCTTAACTTGCAAACTCAAACACAAAAACTCCACCAATAAAAACTCTTCCTAACCACAAGAAGCGTCTATTTTCCTAACTTTGTAAAGCTTACTTCCCTAACATCTTGTGTGAATTCCCTGTGGCACACCATACATTCACAGTACTAAGATCCACACAACTCATAATAAAACCACATATGGATCTGAAAAGCAACCACTCAGTGGCACACAATAACCTACCACACCTGTCTCACAGATTAACTATGTCTTGACACACTTTTGACACCAAATTAAAAATGTATGAGCAATAAACAGGAAGCCTGTTCCCTGTTTCTGATTCTTGCACTCTCTTTTGGCCACCGCTTTCATCTCCATCCCTGCATTAACATTGAACATTTTTGGTTTCAGACCATCACCATAGCAGCTTTTCCACAACCCAGAAAGTGTTTAGCAGTAATACTTGCATGGCTGCAGCACGTGGCTATTTTCAAACTAACTTTGTTTCTTTAGTTTGTATCAGGTTGCTTCGTTGTACTGGTTTTAGAGTTAATGCAATCTTGAGCTGTCCTTTCAACGTGTTACTTTGCATATAAATTAACACTTACACTTGTTAAGCATGTTTATAGGTGTTTCTTATGTACACAAGATATATAAGCCTTGTTTTGTATTAATAAAAACAGTTCTAATCACTATCCCTTCTATATACTCTGTTCTTTCTCTCATTCATAACATTAACAAAAAGGTCTCGGCAATCCAGAAGCCATTCACTAGGGATGATCTCATTTAAAAATCAGATACAACACCAGCAAAAACAAAGACACGTTGCAGCTCTACTTGGTAATCCGATATTCCCTCTAAATTTAAGCATAAACCATCAATAATTAAGCTTGTTCTTTGTTGATTACATCAACTTATATGGCAATCAAGCAGAAATACAAACTCTAAGGTAAGGAGGGAGAGAAAAGATCAGCTTTATATTCATGTGCTATAAAATTTATTACTTCTACTCTGTGTTCCTTGACCTAACCTGTCATTCTTAGTTGCCTTGAGCTGCACACTAATTTTCCTACACCAGAAAGAATCTAATGTCTGAAACAAATTCAATCCACATAATAGTTCAAACATGGTCATCAACATCTACCCTTCCTTCAAACTTGTATACCATTTCTTCAAGTTGTTGCCAATAGTTGAGAAGGAGCAGTAACAAATCTTGTTTTGAGATGGAAATTCCCTCCAACTAAGAGAAGATCAAAATCTCTTAGACGATCTTCTATTTCTTCCTCCAACTCAACGGATTTGTTCCTTATTCGTGGAACCGGCCATGATAATACCTCTTCCACCTGACAAAGCAAATATGCACCCATTTAAGATATCTTAATAAATTTGTTTGTGTGGGCACTTAATTAGTGATAAGAACTTATAGTATTGTACTTTTTCCCTTTTTTGCTAAAAGTTGCAGTAGATAACTGAAAGTAATTTCTTCTTGAGACAGAAAATGTCCATAGTTTATACTAACATCAAATAGCTAGACTAAGCAATCTTGTTAATAAGTGATAAATCTTAGCAAATTGCAATAAGTCTATGTCAAAGCAACAAATTTAACCATAAATAAGAGATAACAAATTAATACATGTATGATTTGTGTGAATTATTTGCTGTTTGTAAATTCATTTTCATATATGTTTTCAAAATTTTCAGCAAAGATTCAAAATATTCTATCTAGAGGAATATATATGTCATATATGAGTTTACCTCAAAAAGCACGCATTCTATGTGAGTAACGAACATGCCCTGACATTCTTCACAATAATAGATGTGATATTTTGTAAATCTTTCTTCTTCACAAATATCACAATAATACTCTCCTGTATCATCCTCAACAAATGAATTCTTAAGAGTAAGTGGATAACTGTGATGTGTAGATTTAACCATTTGTGTTATTGGCAAACATTCCAAATGAAGGCTTATATTAGCCTCAATGCAGAAACAGAAGGGTCCAGCACAAATTTCATCACATCTAAGACATGTATATCCATTGAAGAGCATTTGGCAACCTATCCCAAAATAGAAAAAATCAAGTTTGCATGTTCGAAGTTTAAATTTTGGAGCCCGCCTCATGGAATTAAGGCATGTAGGATGGAGATGTAAGTCACACTCCAAACAACTATAGCTGATGCCAACGAATCGGAAATCAAAGGCATGGCAACTTTCTGTAAGGAACATTTTTGCCATAAGCGGGTGTAGCGGATGAAAGGGGTGTTGCATCTTTTCAGGAAATCCAAGGCAAGATTCATGAAGAACAAAAATATCATTGCAGTCTAGGCAACAATAAGCCAGACCAAAGATTTATAGTTGGCAATAGCTGCAGTAGTAGTCTTTCTTTGCACTGCCAAGTACCAACATGTGTTCATGACTGAAATGGTATATCTTAGTTTTTCTGGCCATCACTTTTTGCCTTTGGCCTTGATTTCTAAGAGCACTCAGTCCTGCACATTCCACATCAACCTTGAACTGGCACTCAAAGCAGAAGTAAAGAAAACCATCTGAAATGTCCCCACATTCATCACATATAAAGGGCCTGGTATTAGGAGATCTAGTAAGAAGGTTTAGAGGATGCTGGTGATGAAGAGGATGTACCACCTCATTGGGCAATTCAGTGCATGCTTTGTGTAGGTAATATCCGCATTCTTTACAGATATAGGCTGGACCATGAATTTCCAGCTTGCAAGCCTTGCAGCCAAGATTTTCATCTTCCTTGTGTACCTCATGAAAATTCAAAGGATGATGATGGTTGAAATGGTGAATTTGCATCTGAAAGGTTAAAAACAAAAAAACAAAAGAGATGGTTACTCTGTTTTAAAGATATTCAAAAAAAAAAGTATTAAGGAAGATTCACTAATAATGAAAAATTATTATATTAATCTAAAACCATTCTCTCTACATGCTTTAATGTCACTCTAAAATTTAAGATAAACATCTCACCTAAAATCAGTTTAATAAGTGAAGTTCACAGGAATTCTCCTCCATGAAAACCAAAGAACCCACATAAATTGCAATAAAATATTTGTCAATTTTTGTTGAGGAAATGTGACAACATCTCAAGCTGTGAATCACCTTCTTGCCTCTTCCAGCATATAACAACATTATTAAACTTTCCTTTTGCAAAGATTTAATAATTTCCAATACCAACACAAAGAGCATCAATTTCATTAAAAATCCTCCATAAAGACAGGGGGGTCAAATTCTTCTCCTTTACCATTAGCACTTTCACTTACTTACATATGTGAAATTTATGTTATTAAAATTTTAACATAACACTAAGACACCGAGTTTTGCCATGCAAAACATTTTGTACAATACTGTCATTGTCAAAGACTAGGAGTCAAATTGCTTCAAGAGTCGGGAAAATTTTATACTATTGTCTATGATGCTGTACCTTAAGTTCTCGGCTCTTGTAAATAGTAGTATCAATTGTTTCACCAAGCTCTGATTCACCTTGTTCCATCACTTTCTCTACCAAAACTTTGCCATCCACCTTGAGGGAGGTCCCCCCCTGCTTAAATTCCATATTCATAGACCCCGGCATTGAGTTGGTTGATTTCTGCTGAGTCAAACATTTACATTATCTATTAGTAATGCAAAGACACAGTGAAGCAAAGGGATTGGATCTCTTACCTGATTGAGACCACATTCAGTATGAGTTACATATTGGCATCTCTCACAATAATAGACATGATTGTTTGAATTTCTTCACAAATATCACAATAATACTCTCCTGAATCATCTTCTCTAACTAAATCTTTAAGGGCAGTTCATGCCTATGAGATCTATGTTTCACTTTAGACTGTATTGAAGCACAATCGAAATCAAAATTGAGATCGCATTGCACACAGAGGTAGAAAGCACACTTCCTTGGGACGGAATTATGATAAAATTTTTTCCTAAATATCTTTGGGATTTCGTGACAGCAATTCCCACCACAGCTGTTGCATGCGAAAATTTTATAGCGAGAGTGTTTTACCAAATAGGTAAGGTCATGCTCATGGCAGTTATTCTTGAGGGTGGGTAGGAGTCTTGCACAGCCAATATGAAGCCAGAAGTTGCAGTCATAACAACAATAGTGTCGATTCGGATATTGATCAAGTTCCCCTTTGCAAGCATTGCAATAGGCCGAAAGATTGCTAAACTGCAAGTAAAGATGGTGAGACGGATGAAAAGGATGTTGCAGCTCTTTGGGTATCTCCCATATGCATGATTCATGAAGGAAGAAATCGCAATCAAGGCACCCATAAGACCTGCCCGATAAAAGGTCCTGACACCAAGCGCAAACGTAGCTCAATATTGATATCTTCCTATAGCTGAAGAGGCTCAGCCCATGCTGGTGGATGAAATGCTTAATAATGCTTCTTTGCTCTTTATGTCGGCATCTCCACCGGCCTTCTTCATTAGTTTTTAAAGCACAAAAGTAATCAACATTGAAGGAGCAATGTTTGCAGCTGTATTTGAAACCTCGAGCTGTGCAAACACATTTATCACATATGAAATCATGCGATACATGGGAAGACAGATCAAGGAAGTGTTCAGAGTGAAGAGCGTGTGTTATCTGAACAGGAAGTTGTTGTTGTGCACAGTCTTGATGCACCCAAAAGTTGCAGCTTTCACAGGAATAGGCCCCAGATACAATTTTCTGAGTGCATTTAGCAGATACCCTGGGATGGATATATTGATAGTCATAGTACAAAGAAGCGTGTTGTAGTTTATCATAGCACAAGAAATGTTCATGAAGGAAAGGTTTGATCTCCATCTCAAAGGAAAAGTGGTACAGTTGGTAAGAGTCTAAAGAGATCAGTATAAAGCCAGAAAGGCAAAATTATATGGTATCACCAATCTATTATGATCAAAGCAAAAATGAATTTGTAAAGTATATGTAAACAATAATTTCATACATTACCATTAAACCAAACTTCGCTATCTGTTATTATGAGGGTATAAGCTCAAGTATTTGGCTGTAATAACAGCCTCTGTTATTGAAGCGTAAAACAGGGATGAACAGAGCTTAAGGTCCAGCAAAGCAAGAATTGATAAAAGCTTCATAAGGATATTCTGAAGATTAATTACAAGCTAAATATATGAGTTATACATAATCAACACCTGTAAGACTGCATGAACAAGTGTTTAGCTTAAACCATATAATAGACATCCTTGGCCACACGTTCCAAGGACATTGAAATATACTGGTATCTTTGCATCACAGCAATACAACCTGAAATTCTTGTTCAAGTGTACTGTGCATGCAAGTATTGACTTTAACATCTTTTGGTATCAAATAATTGAGGGTTGTGTGTGGATTTCGGATTGCTTGGATCAATCATAAAGCTGAGTTCTGAATAATTGATTCTTGCGGTCTGGCCAATACAACAAAGTTATTCCATCTTCCTTTTTACTTTATTCTTTCATTTTATTACAAGGCATAGAATTATGACTTCGAATTTAAACTTAAAACATTTGAAGTTCATTTTCAGTTGGAATGAAGATATGTAAAAGAATATTTCAACAAACCAAGCAAACCCCAGATGAAATTTATTAAGCCAGCTCTCAAAACAACAGCATGTTCCCTCACATGATTTGGCTTTTCTAGCACATAATTAAGCAGCAAACATTTTATTTACTGCTATTATCAACAACTGAGGAAAGTAAAGGGTTGAAACCATCGCCACAATTAACAAACTCATATTTTACTGTAAGGTGGCCTTGGGCATATCCTACTCCGTCAGTGTCCAATCGGTTGAAAACAGCCACATCCAAATCCAACCCTCCATTGCTGCATCGATCCACAATCCTCACTATTTCTTGAGCATTTGTTCTTGTATTTGTAACCTGTAAAAACAATATAAAATCAAGATTAGACCCCCAAAAAAAATGAAGGCAATGTTTTAACTTGATCAACGAATAAACTTTGATCTTGAATTAAGAAGGGAGAAAGGGTTCAATAATTTCTTACCCTCAAGCACCTGCCACAAGCAGCTGGGAAAGTAGGACCAACAGGGCCACAAAAGGCAGTCCAACCATACTTACTCCTCCATGAAAATGGCTTGCTAGCATCCCATGTAGAGCAATAGGCACTCACAGCCATCAAATCCCATCCATGTTGCTCTGGATTGTAGAAATGGTAAGTGGATGTCACAGTCGCAGTCTCTCCTCCAGGGCCACTACTTTTGCAATTACTCTGGCAATTATTTTCAGGCAAACAATAGGCATCGGTGTTGCCACACCACCCATATTGGCTGCAACATAAGTTGTCTGGGCAGATTGTTCCACCAGCTTGCCAGCCACATTGCTCAGCAACTGCTGCTCCCACTAAGCTAACCAAAAAGACCAGCAACCTCGGAACAGTATTAACTTTATCCATTGCTTTCTTTTCCAAACTGCTGAATTTGTTATGTGCAAAGTTGTCTTTGATTTGATAAGGTTTTATAGAAAGTTAGGTTCATGTTATCATTAATAAATTGACGTTGTCAACACATTGGCAATTTGGCATATAACTATTGGAAATTTGTAAAGTACAAAACTGAGATGATGTTCCTTGCTGCCTAGGATATGGACCATTGGATTGCTAATCAAATGGTTTGTGATTTGAGAATGTTGAAGATGAGATGGCAAAGGGATTGAGGTGGACGTGCTCACGATGGAAAGTGTGAGGCGGCTAAATGTTTATTTGTTTGTCAAAGGCATGAGAGGCGGCTAGAAATAAATGCTGATTAAGAGGATAAGGACAAAGTCTGAGATTAGCCGCCTGATATCTTTACTCAATTTTGCCTACATCCATCTACACAGCTTACTCTCCTGTTCGGCCAACTCAAGACACAGAAATTTTTAATGTTACTTAGATGTTGGATTCTTGTCTTTGAGAATTAGCTTTTTCTAAGTTAATAGTGCTTCTCTTTTTCCCAAAGTTTTTTTTCTTTTCTTTTCTTTTCTTTTCTTTTCTTTCACCAAAGTTCCGTTTCTCTTTTCATTTTGAGTTAGCTACATATCCTTTTCGTGCTTATCATTCCCATTTATGTTATTAGACGTAAAACATATTATTAATTTACTACTACTAATTAATCCACAAAGCTATCTTGAAGTGGTCGATCATTAATTATTAAAAAAGAAAATTGAAATATCTTTTGATGTGTGTGATTTTTTTAATTTTATTCTTGTTTTAATCAGATTTTTTATTATAACCATAAATAGCTTGACGAGTAATATGAATTTTTACTCTAATTTTAAAAAACTTGTTAAAACTTGAGCAATTTCAACCCATAAATATTTCAAAAAAAACAAAGATTTAAGTTTAAAACAAGTTCAAAAAGATCCAAGCCCAAAATGGTTCAAATTCAATCAAACTCAATCTCCTATCCTCTTATACTTCCACCGGAGAGACATAAAAATTAATTGTTACATCCAATATCAATTGACATTTTCAAAAGATATTTATATGTAAAAATAACTTGTTTTTAACTTTTCTATGATATTGAAGTAGATAATATTTTGTTCTAAATTGTTATGATCTATGGAAAATAAGTTTGTAACAATTTAATTTTCTATTATATAAAATATTGTAGACACCCATTTTTTCCTTTTAATTGTAATAAACGGAAATCAACTCAAAAATAACAGAAAAAAAGCAAAAAAAAACAGAAAATTCTAAATTTTTTTTAAAAATAATAATACTAATAATGAAGGAAAAACCAACACACTGAGCAGAAGAAATTGGAACTGCCAGGGGCATTCCCATGCATAGATTGCTTAATTGGCCAATCCTTCTTTTTCTTTAAAAGGTTGTCCTAGTATACTGCAACTTTGATCAAATTAAGAGTAAGATAGTCTCGTTTATGGGGAAAGCCAGGTGTCCCTGCTAGATTTTAGGGATTACCCTTTATGGGGTAGATGATTAACCCTGAATTTAGTACACCATGTGAAATTCATGTAAAATGCATAACATGAATTATTTCTTGTAATTAATTTTATCAAGCATGTACAAGATTAAGCTAAAGTTATATCTTCTCTTTTCTTTCTTTCTTCTTTTTTTTTTTTTTTTGCAAGTACACCATTAATTCTTCTCTTTGATTTGTTTTTAATATGGGTTTTGCCATTGATACGTCTGAAACTATAGCACAAGAAATGTTCATGAAGGAAAGGTTTGATTTCCATCTCAAAGGAAAATTGGTATAGATGGGAAGAGTCCAAAGAGATCAATATAAAGCCAGAAAGGCAAAAGTATATGGTATCACCAATCCATCATGAAAGCAAATATGAATTGGTTTAGAGTATCATTAAACCAAACTTAGCTATCTTTTGGTATCAAATGATTGAGGGTTCTGTTGTGGATTTAGGATTACTTAGATCAATCATAAAGATAAGTACTGATTCATTGATTTTTGCGATCAGCCAATACAATAAAGTTATTCCACATGTACTTAAGCATTTGGCTCATTAATTAGTGCATTATCTTCCTACCTAAAAAATAAGGTTCGAATCCCCTTTTTCTCAATTATATAAAAAAAAATTATTCCACTTTTCTTTTACTTTATTCTTTTATTTCATTACAAGGCATAGAATTATGACTTCAAATTTAAATTTAAGAGTTGAAGGTCATCCCATTCCTTCCTTCTTTTTCATACATCTAAAGTTCATTGCTTGTAAGTTAGCCACTGCCATATCCATATCAACATAGTTAATTATTTAATTTGAAAGGTAATTATCAATTTTCTTTTCTTCTTTGCTCATTCATAATTCTAACCATTTTGAATTAGATAGAAATTGGAATTTTTAATTTGAAAATTTCAAATTTAAATTATCGAAATGTGCCTTTAAAACTGGAGTGAATTCAACTCATAAATTTTTAAAAAATAAAAATTTAAATTTAAAATAAATTCAAAACGATCTAAGCTCAAAATAATTCAAATTCAACCGAACTCAAACTCTTATCCAATTGTTGAGACATTTCAGTAATTACAATTAAAAATTTAAATATAACCTTAACAAAATAAAAAATTAATTAATCTTTGTTATGTAAATCAAAAGCTCGAAAACTATTTTTATAAGTATTAAAAATTAATGGATATCAATAAATTCGAATAATTCAGTCAATTATTAAATTCTCAAGATAATTAATGCATAATATTCATTAATTTCATATTTCTATATATATATATATTGTTTGTTTATCTTCTTTTAGGGCAATCTTTTCAAACATCGATTTGGCCAGAAGAAATGAACTTGTTGAAGGGTGGTTCTTCTAAGTTGCGATGGTACAATGAAACTAACCCTTGATGTTGAAGTAACATCATTATCATCATTAGAAAATAATCCAATTTTTTTGGCTATTTGAGAAAAAATCTAATCAATAATCACATTTCTTTATAGAAAATTAGATTAGAGGGTGGAGTTTATGGATGTGAGAGAAGTACTTCCTTTTGTGTAACTCAAGCACCAAGAAATTATAAAGGAAATAAAACCACAAAAGATAATTGGATAATTGGGCCAATTAAATAAACTGAACCAATAAGCTTGTGTTATGTTTGCTAAGAACAACTTTGAAGGCAACCCTTATAAAGTTCATTTCAGTCCCACAGTTTTGCTCCAAACATCAATAGGGCAACCCAATCATTTGGGGTTCCTCAGGGATCTGTTGTTGGACCAAAATTGAAGTTTGGAATCTTGGAGTTGAGCCCAAAAACAAAACTTTTGGCTGGATGACACAACACTCCATGCTAAATATAAATAATTGCAAGCAAGTTTAATTGGCATCAAATAATTGTAATTTTATACCCATTTCAAGGAATTCCTATATGAATATTTCATCAATCAAAGCATATATATAACCTTATTCCATACCTTCACCTCAACACCTGAACTCATTAGACATTTTGTGAGCTCATTGCTAGCAAACTTAAGCCTTGATTTCCTCTATTTTTCAATATGAAGTTTCCAATTTTGGCTATTATTTTTTTCCAACAAGAAAGCAAACTAATTACCAAAATGATTGGAGTAGATTATAGCCGAGTAACAAATCTGATGTTAGGTCCAGGACAACCTTTATTTTTTGTTTGCAATCTGAAAAGATTCAAGACAGCCTAGTTTAAGAGATGGAGTAGGAAAATTAAGGAGCAAGAAGAGAGGGGAGGTGTTTTTATGGTTTATTTAAAGAATTAAAGGAAAGTTAATTAACATTGTGAAGAATCTTTGAGAAGAGTTAAACAAAGAGGCAAATTTTACAAATCCCCACATTTATGCTGAGCATTCAAGATGGAGATATCAGATATTCAGTCACTTCCCTTAAAAGGGAATCTTAGAAAAAATGGAAAGGACAAAAACAAGTTTCACAAATCCCCAGTTTCATGTTGGGGTGATCTTACAGAAAGATGCCTTTTTCCCAACCAAATCCTGCATTCACTCACTCACACCCCACTTCTTCTCCTTCTTTTTTTTTTTTTTTTTTTGAGTTAATTAATTTGAAGCCAATAATTTCATAGCCATGGGGTTAAAGAAAAACATTTATTTTTTTATTTTAATCAATACGCCTGCCAAAGAATAAATTTATATGCTGCCTTGGATTGGCTGCAAAATGCCAGTCCAATTTGGTTAGAAAACAGGATTCATTCACCTTATTGCATAGACAATTTTCTTATTGCAACAGCATGTTTTGACTATTAATAGGAATGATTCTGTCTTTTGATGGCCCCTTTTCTTGTTGGGTTTATGTTAAGGAATTCCATATTAAGTAATGACATTAATAATTTGATGGCCCCTTTTCTTGTTGGGTTTATGTTAAGGAATTCCATATTAAGTAATGACATTAATAATTTAACATCTATATACATACTTTGGAATCTTTTTTTTTCTTTGTTTAATATCAAATAATTTCATATCAGAAGTACACATCACTCTTTGATGAAAATGGTATTTTGAATTAATGAAGGAAATTGTTGTGGAATTAATTCTCATTTCCTCACCACCTTCATTGTCATCTTTCAATATAAGCCAATTTTTTCATTTATGATTATTAATCTGAAGATTAAAATTCGAGATTAATGTAGAAATCATAACTCTAAAAATAAAAAAAAAATACGATTTCTTTTGTTAATATCTCATTCTCAGAAATTACTTTCTTTGTAGATTTGAACCATCTCGAGAGGGGTTAGAATTATTTATTTCTTTATAAAAAAAATTAAGCATTTGCTGTGAACAAATAATTTTAGGGTCCACAGTTGTCTACAACTTGCAATAAAAATACCATATACCAGCAATTGAAATTAATAAAATATAAAAAATAATAATTGATTCTTAAATGTTCCCAGCAATTTGCACATGGCCTTGCTCTACCATATCTCTTTTTTCATGGATCTTGTTTATTTGTCTCCTCAACCAATTACAAAAAAACCATTATAAAATTTATAAAAAATAATAAAAAGGTATACATAATGCACAGAATCTCTTCATACATTACATAAAAAAAATAAGAAGTAATAGTACATGCAAAATATTACAAAATGGAGTAAACCCCCAAAAAAAGAAAGAAAGAAAGAAAGCACTCATGACAACTAGAAAACATTAATAATATTTAGGGTATTATTTAGACAAGCCATTGACAATAAGGCAGAGTTGCACCGAAGAAAAAGCAAAAAAGTCTTATAAACATATTTTGATTTTTTTTCTATTATTTTGATTTCTTGTCCCCTAATAAATCTTCTGAATATGTTCCTCATGATTTTTTTCTTGTTTTTTCTTCATGCTGAAGGAAAAAGGAGTAAAGAAAAAGAAGGAAAACCCTTGATACAGACACATTCAAACTCCCTGCTCGAACCCTCTCGAGCCGGTTTGCCAGGTGGGTTTCATCTGAGATTTGTTGTTCCGTAACACTACTTCAGCTTCTGTTCTTGCACTTCTCTACTGCTCTTGGAGCTGCAATATCATAAGAAAGACAAATAATCAGTGATAAAATTTTACGTTTAGATCCCATTGTTTAAGATTGGAAGAATGGCCACAGTACTGACCGAGTCCAATTGCTTCAGATCCCTTCATGATTCGCAAGCGTTTGCATGAATCGACGAACATTCTGTAGAATTGTAGAGACGGATTAGTGAGTTAATCATGAGATTAAGTTGCCAAGATTACAAAACGTAAGTTTGATTTTGGAGTTGGAAGCTTACTCCCATGGGACATCACCAACAAGCATCCAGTCTCCGTCTTTGTCTTCATAAGTAGGAACATACTCAGAACCATTCAAGAGGTCTATCAATTTGCTCTCGTTCATGAAATCTTTCATTCCTTGTGACCCACAGTTACCAATAGTGAAGGAGCTGAACATTTTGCCCAGGGCATCAGAGAGTTCTGGGTAACTCTTGTACAATTTCAAGTCCACCTTGCGCAGATATGGTGCTCCATCCATGCTGACCTTAACGAAGGCCGCCGCCACAGTGGCGGTGGTGGTGTTGCTGCTGCCGGCCTTGTCGCCCTCGACGTCGGAGCTGTTCTTCTGGACGGCCATGATGTTCTTCCGGAAGGACCTGACTGGTGGCCATCCCACGACTTGTGCCCTGAAATCCAATGTGCCCCCAACTTTAAGCAACTAGCTAGATCATTTCATTCTTTTACGATAAACATAAAATCATAATGATTCAAAGCAAGGAAATAACAAAAAAATATATAATGGAAATTATTGGAATTCCATTCTATGGTAAAAGAGAATTATATTTAATATTATATATTATATATCCAAGTAATGAAAATATGAATGTGGCAGTACTTTATTATTGACATTTACCAAAGTTTGGTAGCTTGGCTGTGGACTATCTTGGCCACTTTCCTGTTAAACCTTTGAATTATTGTTTGGTTGTTGGGAAAAGTACTAAAGATTCCACATGTTTTGTTTTTTTCCGTCTTTTTCCCGACAAACAACCAAAGCCATCAAACATCCCAAATTAAACTGTTTTTTCACTTTACAAGGCCAAGATTCAATGGAGACTCATCTTCTTAATCTCCAAATCAATATTCAACACCTGGAAGAAATTTTCAATGACTAATTTCAGATAAGAACAGGCTCATGCATGCTCACGTCTTGATCCATTGAACTTTCAATTACTATATGTTACTTTCCCAACAAGGAAATGAAAACAGAGATTTGAGAAACAAGGTTAAACCAAGAAATTAAAAAGAAAATGGTAGCTTACTTTGCAGGGGGCTTTGCAGGGTCAGCAGAGCGAGGAGCAACAGTGGTCTTCTCCTTAACCTTCTCAGCTTCATCTGCCACTGCCTCCTTTGCTGTTGAAAGGTTAAGCTTCAAATCAACGGTCTCCGAAAACCCTCTTTTCCCGTTGTTTTTCAGCAATTCACCGTCGTTCCCGTTTCCTCCCGGTAATCCTAGACGTAACTCCGTCTCTTCGAAATTAATCATGCTATACTTGCCACACGCCGCGTCCATAATGCTAGTCATTATGAGAAATTAAACATCAAATTTACGTGAAAAAACTCGTGAATCGATCCAACTTCAATCTCGTTCCATTCTCCCAAAATATCTCTCTTTGATTTTTTTTTTTTTCCTTTTGCTTCTTTCTTTTTTCCTTTGTGTTCTCTCTTGATAGTTTGTTTGCTAGAGGAAGTGCATGTAAGGTGTGGGAGGAGGGAATATGTGAAAATGTGTGGGGGGGGGGGGGAAGAAGGCCAAAAAATGGTTCTGTGGAAAGATAATATATGGTTTTGGAATATTATGTTAGGGGATTCTCGACGGCGATGATGATACCACGTGGAAGAAAGCGTTAGTTGGACCGTCCACGGGTTGTCGGGGAAGGTGATGTCATGGATGATGTCATATTTAGAATGATTGTGTGAGTGAGTGGACATACGTAGTTGGCGTTGTTTGCCTTCCTTTGTTTCCTAGGCTCCACCTATTAATGATCCCATATGCACCAAATATATTATATATTTCTATATATATAATTTGATTTTTTTAACTTTATGGAGTCATTAAACTAATTCCATTTCCTTTAGTAATTCCTAGTTTAATTACATTTGGAGGGAATTAACATTGAATAAATTAATCATCATAGTAAATATTCTGATAAAATTTTATGTTAAGTGTGCATTTGATCAATTTGATTTTAAAATTTTAAAAATCAAAATAATTACTCGCATATAAAATTATCAAACCGATTGAACTATACTATGAAATTGAAATAATCGAAATTGACTAATGTTCGATGGATTTGTTCGAATTTACTGGTTTTTCAGTATTTATATTATATATAAAAATTAATAATTATTATTGAAATTTATCTTATATATGCATTAATAATCTTTTTATATATTATATATTTAGAAATATCTACTTTTTGGATGATTAATTGAAAATTTTAGATATTAAAAATAATAAAAATTAGAGAATAAATCAGAACAAATAACTGATGAAAATTAAATTTAAGCAAATCGAATTGAATGAAGTAAATTCAATTCGATTTTGATGAATTAATTCAATTGGAATATATTAATACTCACTCCTAATTACATGTGCAAATAAAAAAATTATATTAATATAATAAAATATTACTCAACAACATCTATAACATATACATGACATAACTATTACAATAATAAATTAATGAATAGACTAAATAAACCAACATCAATCAGATGAATCTCACATTTGATAGGAATTGAATCAAGTTGCAATGACAATATAATACATGTTACAATTTTATTTTTTTTAGGTTGAAAATATAATGTAAGTAGTGCCATTCTCCAAGGTTACCCATTAAAATCCTTTTCATCCTTCACATTCTTATCCACACTCTCTCCACTTCCTGTGGTAAGCATTAAAAGCTCACACATCATGGCCCATTTGGGTGCCACTGTATTCACACCCAAAAAAATGGTAAAAGCAAAAGTAAACAATAACCATAATGCATCTCATAAAAAAGACAATTATTAACTAAAGAAATTTTCATCTCCCTTTTTGTTTGGATAAGACCATAGAAAAAGGTCGGCTCTATTTTAAGTATTAATTTTTTAATAAAAAATTAAAAATAATATATTTATCTCAAAATAATATAAAAGGATGAAATTCTCGTAGCATCACTTAATAAAATTAAACGATTGGAAGAAAGAATTAAGTATTATTAACTAGGTTAATTTTTTAATTTAAATTTTTTTCTTGAATTGGAGGAAAGGGTTTAAATTTTACTATTTAAGTGAAGAGATCATACACCAATTAATGAATTAAATACTCAAATGTATTATTTAATTTAAATTTAATTATTACATATAAATATAACTAATACTTACATAAATGAATTTCATGATTACCTCAAAATAAAAAATAATACCATATGATGTAATTATTGAAATAATACAATATTTATAAATTAAAAAAAAAACTAAAATTTATCATCCATGATTACTCGATTTGGATTACGTGTGATTATACAATTTGAGAGAACTCAAATTAATCATTTGAGGCGTGATTAATGATTTGCACTGAATTCTTTAAGGAGAAAGAAGAATAATCAATTGATATCCACATAAATACTTTTGAAATACCGGATATGATTATTATGTAATTATTCTTAGAACGACTTCGAGGAAGCAAGTGGAATCTTTTTAGGCAAAACTGACTTTTTGCACCGCGTTTGCGGAAAGTCAGCCAAAAAAACAAAATGCGGCAAGAGCTGAGATTCATTCATTTGATTGGCTGAGAGGGTATCCCCTGTGGGGGACCCATCCTCCCCCCCAACTTGGTTTTCTTGCTGTTAAGAGTTTAGACAAGTTTTGCATTGTTTCACCTTTGTTTCTTTCTTCCCCCAACCCATGTGCCCTGTTTCACCCAAGTATGACAAACATCTACATATAATTATATACTACATATATATATACATATGTATATATAAATATAAATACTAATGCAACATGATGTATACATGCAATATATTTCTTAGGAAATTCACAACTAGAGTATCAATTTTCTTTTGTGTTATTATTCCATGAGTTATTTTACGTATTCGAAAACATATTCATCAGTCTCGAAATCAGGTCTTTTAATGACTACAAGTATTATTCAATTTTATACAAAAAAATTTATCTCTACATCATCTTATAAATCTTATTTCTTTTATTAAGGATCTGAATTCCAAATCTTTAATTTAAAATCTTAATTTTTAATTAATAAGATATAAATAATTTTCCTTGCAATGAAAGACGATTACCAAAATTTGAAAAATAAGTAACAATTTACATATTTTCTTAATGTTTACAAATTTATCTAACTGCCTTGAATTTCAAAATATATTACCAAAATTTCAATATCTATTTTACTTGCCCTTTGAAATTTGTAGCCCTTGGACCACCCTATGGATTGTAACTACCTCATCTTTTTTTGCTTAAATAAATACTTAAAACATTTGCCTTTGGTCAAACCATTTATTTGACTATAATGTCATTTTCTTATATTAAATACTGCATGTGAAAATTGCACTTTTGACTTTTAAAATTTGATCTTTTGACTTGAACAATGCAAACCCTTTCTATCTAATGGGACAGTAACTGCTAATGTTAAGTCATGAAAAGCGCCCATAAGAGATACATTTCGTACTTTAAGAGTCAAAATGGGTTTTATATACGAATTATATTCATCATGAAAAATGAATTCATATCCATTAATATTACATTATCGATTAATTTTTACCTTAAAATATTCACTTCAAGGAGTTCTTTCGACGTATTTTCTTTTGAATAATAGAAAAAATGTATGAACATAAAGAAAACAATTCTCTTTAGGGGATGGGGAAATATTATAGGGCCATGGGGGTGATGATGATGATGGTATGGTCAAAGATGCACATGGCATGGCCAACATGACGCTAGATACGAATTTAATTACCCCAAAAAGCTGACAGAACACAGAAAGCAAGGTTTGAAAAGGACTGCCCTTCAGCTCCAAAACAAAAGAGAAGAGATTTAGCAAAAGAAAGGGGGAGGCCCATTGCCAGCCAATCTACACTCAGAAATGTCCCCTCGTGTGGGCTGCCTGGCCCACAAAGCCTACTGTCACCATCTCCTAGACCTCACACGTGTGCATTCCTATCTAGTGTGGTACCACATCCCTAGAACACTGTCAGCATCTCTCAGACACCACACGTGTGGCCATTAATATAAGGGTTTTTTTTTTCTTCTCTTTTTATGGTCAATTTCACCTCTTTTTGGTTTTCCCTTCTTTGTTCTTCTCATGACTCTATTTTGTACGATTCACAGAGATTCTTATATTTCCAAATGGTACGTACTGTCCTCTTTGGGGAGAAGGTTGAGTGTCTTCATTCCTCCCACTTAGTCTAAGCCAAATGCCCCCAAAGCTATTCTTTCCTTTCAACCCAAAAAAGGAAAACAAAAAAAAAAAAACAATGCTAGGTTGCCCTATGCTTCAATTGTCCGATTATTTACAAATGATACAAAAAAAAATTAATAATTTTATTTGACATTTAATTTTTAGATAATTAAACCATCAGATAAATTTAATATTTTTCAAAATTATTATTTTGACTATAAGATTTTTGCGAGGGGATGATACAATAGGAAAGTCAACTACTTCTAACCACTCCATACATACATACATATATATCTATAAAGAGAGAGAGAGAGAGAGAGAGTTTAATATCTTTTAGACTTTTGCTTGTGAGGATAAAAAGGATAGAGACTTGGCACTAGAGCTTTGAGCTTAAGGTTGATAGGACAAAAGGATTAAAGAAAAAAAAAAAAGAAATGAACTACCGTGGGATGCATCCATTTATTAATGTAACAAAATTCGAATGCAATTTTATATATATAAATAGTAGGATATAATCAAGAAGTCTTAAGTAAAGAAAAAAGATTCAAACTTTAATTTTTGTACAATTTTTTTAAAAAAAGTTTTAAAATTACGGTCTTTAAATGAAATCAAGGTTATTTCTAGAAACTATTAAATCAAATGTTTTAATTAAAATGTAAGACTATGGTTTGGTTGTTGGCAAAAAAAAACCCGAAGGTCATAGTTGGTGCTTTGGAGTTTAGGTCTTTCAAAACTTTTGACGATGATTTGATCAGTATTGTGTGGCAAAGCAACCACTTGCATGCGTCCATATCTTTAGCTTTGTCCTTCACAAATGAGAATACCAACAAAGAACGTAATTGGTCTCTTTTCCAAGCTTGCCTTTTGTGATTGGAAGGGGAAGGATGGCGACTTCACCTCCATAAGCTTTGAAATTCGAGTCACGCATATAATTGGAATGGTGACCTGAGGATAAGGAAGTCCACAACCAAACAAATTTTAACTGTTTATGTACTTTAAATATTCCATCTATCATTTTAACCTATTTCACTCGTGTGGAGACTTTAAGAACCCCAAAAAGTTTTCAATAATAGAAAACAAACAAAGCTTTCAACTCAAACTGTTGAAAGTGGTCTGATTAATTCACAATCAAATAATTCTTAGTGCGCATAATTAGTAGTAAAGCCAATGAAGTGATAGGGTGAGGGTTGTTATTTTTTAATTTTTTATTATTATATGTATAAAATTTAAAATATATCAATTCATGATCTTTATAATTAATCTTTAATCACTTTTTATGTAAATTCTAAATTGATCACGGTTTATAACATACAACAAAATTTAAATTTCAGAATGGGTTCTCACTGTAGATGAG